AATGTATTCGAGCAAAGGCCTGCTTTGAACACTCTAATTTTTTCACAGTAAAAGTCCTGGTTCCCCCCACAGCCAGTGAAGGCCATGAGGTTCCCCAGAAGGAAAGGTCCAGCCGGACCAGTACTCGCGGTGAGGCGGACCGGCCAGCCAGACCCAAGGTTCAACTACGAGCTTTTTAACTGCAACAACTTTAATATACGCTATTGGAGCTGGAATTACCGCGGCTGCTGGCACCAGACTTGCCCTCCAATTGTTCCTCGTTAAGGGATTTAAATTGTACTCATTCCAATTACGAGACCCAAAAGAGCCCCGTATCAGTATTTATTGTCACTACCTCCCCGTGTCGGGATTGGGTAATTTGCGCGCCTGCTGCCTTCCTTGGATGTGGTAGCCGTTTCTCAGGCTCCCTCTCCGGAATCGAACCCTAATTCCCCGTTACCCGTTGCCACCATGGTAGGCCACTATCCTACCATCGAAAGTTGATAGGGCAGAAATTTGAATGAACCATCGCCGGCGCAAGGCCATGCGATTCGTTAAGTTATTATGATTCACCAAGGAGCCCCGAAGGGCATTGGTTTTTTATCTAATAAATACACCCCTTCCGAAGTCGAGGTTTTCAGCATGTATTAGCTCTAGAATTACCACAGGTATCCATGTAGTAAGGTACTATCAAATAAACGATAACTGATTTAATGAGCCATTCGCAGTTTCACAGTATAAATTGCTTACACTTAGACATGCATGGCTTAATCTTTGAGACAAGCATATGACTACTGGCAGAATCAACCAGATACCTAGTTCCTGCAGGCTGCGCCCGGGCAGATACCTGTTAAAGCACTGCCCGAAACGCCTCCCAAAGCCCCCGAAGGGGCAGCATGTTACATAGGCTTCCATCTGGAAGGGACACACGAAGTGTCCGGCCACAGCGACACCCCGGCGTACCGGGAGCACACAGATGACCATCCAATTGCCCCCACTGTAGCCCCCCAGGAACCGGTCCGCACGCAGGTGACCCCGCCAGAATCGCCTTTGCAGGCGCTGGCAGGCTGCGGCATACGGCCCTCGGGTGGAGGGTCCAGACCCTGCGGACACGCTGACGAACAGCGGCTCCCGCAGGGCGGCTCCCCCCGGGAATCTGTATAAGAAGGCTGGCCAGCGGCCAACGATCCACAGACTCCATCGGTGCCGGGGACCGAGAACGGCCCCCGGACTTCAGACACCCCAGCAACAACGGGCACTCCCGGCATGATTAAGCTGGCGCCGACCTGGCTAGCGACTCGAACTCACACTGTTACTATCTCAGGGGTCACGGGCGCGACCATACGAAATGCATGGAAGCTCCTAACCTCCAGTCGACGCGCAACCGGCAAGAAAGAGAACCTAGGACCAGGAAAGGCACCGGCCGCGCAGGAGAAGACCACGGGCTGAGGTGGGCGATTACCCCGTTCCTGAAGCGAGGCCCAGCTAAGGGACCTGTGCGCCACCAGTCACAGAGAGGCAACCTGCCTGGCAGGGAAGAAGTATGGACTGGCTTCCGGCAGCTGAGATCAGCTGCCTTTCACCTTCCACATAGAACCACCGGCCCTGCTTGGCCCTGTCGCATGCGTGCAAACGCTCCCGTGTCCGAAAGTCATTCGTGGGGACCACTTTTGTATGGGGTGGTCCGTGCGTCCACCCGTTTTCCCATACAAAGTGGGCCACCCAACTTCGCCCCCTACCCGGGCTGTAAGGGACTTAGGCGTTTTCGCGTGCCGCCGTCCGCCCATACGTGGCCGAACGGCCCGGTGTAACACCGCCCTCGGCCGCTGTCGCCTCCCTCTCCCGCCCTCCGACCCGTGCACCACGCGCTCTCTGCCTGTGGGAGTCTGGCACTCCGCGACACCCCCGATCACGTGACCCGCCGCGCAACGTGAGGCTTTGGCAGCCGTCCGGATGTGCAACCCAGATCGATGTCATCGCTCTCCCGGTCATCCCAGGGGTGTGTAGACGTGCCTGCGTCGTCATACAGGCGTCTGTGTGTCTGTCTGCTGGGGCTGTGGACATCCGTATGCGGATGCGTTGGGGTGTCCGGGGGGTAGGGTTATATATATCGGTGCGAGTGAGGGTGTGTGCACCAACATGACGGTGGGAGACGTGTGAGGTGTGGATATATATATTTGGCCTGCGTGTGTGTCGACGCGTACGCAAGGGCGCAGTGGCGGTCGATGACCGGCTAGAAGCCGTGCGGCGTCCCGCACGCCCTGCCGACGTACCCCCTTCCCTCCCCGGCACCGCCTCCCGAGCACCACCCTCGCACCCCGGCGCCCCAGCGTCGACCCTTCCCCCTCCCACGCGGGAATGGCACCCCCGGCCGCCTCCCTCCGCGTCGCCGGGCCCCACCCCTGCCCGTTTTCTCCCGCGGCGCCTCTCATGATTCAATTTCACCCAGCCAACTGGCAAATCCCCTTTGCCAGCACGCACCCCTGCGCGGGCCCTGGACGCCAGCCCCAACGCTCACCCGCAACCGCGGGGCGCCGGGCACCTGCCTGGCCCCCGCCGTGAGCGCCGGCCGGCAGCCGCCCTTGCCTACAGGTCCTCCGGACCCACGTCGCCTGCCATCGTGCGTGCAAACGCTCCGGTGTCCGAAAGTGAGTGCATTCCTACCGCCGTCTTACGCGGCCAAGTGTGGTGCCCCCAACGACGCCCCCACGGGACACCGGAGCGTTTGCACGCACGATGGCAGGCGACGTGGGTCCGGAGGACCTGTAGGGCAAGGGCGGCTGGCCGGCCGGCGCTCACGGCGGGGGCCAGGCAGGTGCCCGGCGCCCCGCGGTTGCGGGTGAGCGTTGGGGCTGGCGTCCAGGGCCCGCGCAGGGGTGCGTGCTGGCAAAGGGGATTTGCCAGTTGGCTGGGTGAAATTGAATCATGAGAGGCGCCGCGGGAGAAAACGGCAGGGGTGGGGCCCGGCGACGCGGAGGAGGCGGCCGGGGTGCCATTCCCGCGTGGGAGGGGGAAGGGTCGACGCTGGGCGCCGGGGTGCGAGGGTGGTGCTCGGGAGGCGGTGCCGGGGAGGGAAGGGGGTACGTCGGCAGGGCGTGCGGGACGCCGCACGGCTTCTAGCCGGTCATCGACCGCCACTGCGCCCTTGCGTACGCGTCGACACACACGCAGGCCAAATATATATATCCACACCTCACACGTCTCCCACCGTCATGTTGGTGCACACACCCTCACTCGCACCGATATATATAACCCTACCCCCCCGGACACCCCAACGCATCCGCATACGGATGTCCACAGCCCCAGCAGACAGACACACAGACGCCTGTATGACGACGCAGGCACGTCTACACACCCCTGGGATGACCGGGAGAGCGATGACATCGATCTGGGTTGCACATCCGGACGGCTGCCAAAGCCTCACGTTGCGCGGCGGGTCACGTGATCGGGGTGTCGCGGAGTGCCAGACTCCCACAGGCAGAGAGCGCGTGGTGCACGGGTCGGAGGGCGGGAGAGGGAGGGCGACAGCGGCCGAGGGCGGTGTTACACCGGGCCGTTCGGCCACGTATGGGCGGACGGCGGCACGCGAAAACGCCTAAGTCCCTTACAGCCCGGGTAGGGGGCGAAGTTGGGTGGCCCACTTTGTATGGGAAAACGGGTGGACGCACGGACCACCCCATACAAAAGTGGTCCCCCACGAATGACTTTCGGACACGGGAGCGTTTGCACGCATGCGACAGGGCCAAGCAGGGCCGGTGGTTCTATGTGGAAGGTGAAAGGCAGCTGATCTCAGCTGCCGGAAGCCAGTCCATACTTCTTCCCTGCCAGGCAGGTTGCCTCTCTGTGACTGGTGGCGCACAGGTCCCTTAGCTGGGCCTCGCTTCAGGAACGGGGGTAATCGCCCACCTCAGCCCGTGGTCTTCTCCTGCGCGGCCGGTGCCTTTCCTGGTCCTAGGTTCTCTTTCTTGCCGGTTGCGCGTCGACTGGAGGTTAGGAGCTTCCATGCATTTCGTATGGTCGCGCCCGTGACCCCTGAGATAGTAACAGTGTGAGTTCGAGTCGCTAGCCAGGTCGGCGCCAGCTTAATCATGCCCGGGAGTGCCCGTTGTTGCTGGGGTGTCTGAAGTCCGGGGGCCGTTCTCGGTCCCCGGCACCGATGGAGTCTGTGGATCGTTGGCCGCTGGCCAGCCTTCTTATACAGATTCCCGGGGGAGCCGCCCTGCGGGAGCCGCTGTTCGTCAGCGTGTCCGCAGGGTCTGGACCCTCCACCCGAGGGCCGTATGCCGCAGCCTGCCAGCGCCTGCAAAGGCGATTCTGGCGGGGTCACCTGCGTGCGGACCGGTTCCTGGGGGGCTACAGTGGGGGCAATTGGATGGTCATCTGTGTGCTCCCGGTACGCCGGGGGTGTCGCTGTGGCCGGACACTTCGTGTGTCCCTTCCAGATGGAAGCCTATGTAACATGCTGCCCCTTCGGGGGCTTTGGGAGGCGTTTCGGGCAGTGCTTTAACAGGTATCTGCCCGGGCGCAGCCTGCAGGAACTAGGTATCTGGTTGATTCTGCCAGTAGTCATATGCTTGTCTCAAAGATTAAGCCATGCATGTCTAAGTGTAAGCAATTTATACTGTGAAACTGCGAATGGCTCATTAAATCAGTTATCGTTTATTTGATAGTACCTTACTACATGGATACCTGTGGTAATTCTAGAGCTAATACATGCTGAAAACCTCGACTTCGGAAGGGGTGTATTTATTAGATAAAAAACCAATGCCCTTCGGGGCTCCTTGGTGAATCATAATAACTTAACGAATCGCATGGCCTTGCGCCGGCGATGGTTCATTCAAATTTCTGCCCTATCAACTTTCGATGGTAGGATAGTGGCCTACCATGGTGGCAACGGGTAACGGGGAATTAGGGTTCGATTCCGGAGAGGGAGCCTGAGAAACGGCTACCACATCCAAGGAAGGCAGCAGGCGCGCAAATTACCCAATCCCGACACGGGAGGTAGTGACAATAAATACTGATACGGGGCTCTTTTGGGTCTCGTAATTGGAATGAGTACAATTTAAATCCCTTAACGAGGAACAATTGGAGGGCAAGTCTGGTGCCAGCAGCCGCGGTAATTCCAGCTCCAATAGCGTATATTAAAGTTGTTGCAGTTAAAAAGCTCGTAGTTGAACCTTGGGTCTGGCTGGCCGGTCCGCCTCACCGCGAGTACTGGTCCGGCTGGACCTTTCCTTCTGGGGAACCTCATGGCCTTCACTGGCTGTGGGGGGAACCAGGACTTTTACTGTGAAAAAATTAGAGTGTTCAAAGCAGGCCTTTGCTCGAATACATTAGCATGGAATAATAGAATAGGACGTGTGGTTCTATTTTGTTGGTTTCTAGGACCGCC